CGTTTTTACTTCTGTGCTGTAAGTCGTAGTGTCTCTTTTTTTCTTTCTGATTTAATTGGTTTGGGTCTTCTTTCTTTTTTTCTTCATCTAGCTAATGGATTGTCAATTTTGTTCATCTTTTGAAAAAATAATTTTTCATTTTGTTGATCTTTTCTTTTTTGCCTCTTTTCATTTAATTCTGCTCCGGTGTTTCATTATTATTTCTTTCTTTCTACCGATTTTTGGTTTGGTTTGTTGTTGCTTTTTGAGTTCCTGAGGGGTATCATTAGGTGGTTTATTTGAAATCTTTCTACTTTTTTGATGTGGACATTTAATGCTATAAACTTCCTTTTTACTACTGCTTTTACTGTATCCAATAGGTTTTAATATGTTGTGTTTCTATTTTTATTTGTTTCAAGATTTTTTTTGTTTCCTTCTTAATTTCTTCATTGACCCATTCGTCATTCAGGAGCATGTTGTTTAATTTCCAGGTATCTGAGCAATTTCCAAAGTTCTTGCTATCAATTTCTAATTTTATTCCATTGTGGTCTGAGAAGATAGTTGATATAATTTCAATTTTTTAAGATGTATTGCTACTTGTTTTGTGGCCTAACACGTTATCTATCCTGAGGAGTGTCCCATGTGGCAATGAGGAGATTGTGTCTTCTGTGGCTGTTGTATGATGTCTGTGAACGTCTGTCTGTCGGGTCCACCTCTCTCATTCTTTAAGTCCTCTTTTTGCTCCTTGGCACATCTTCCGTTGCCATGGTTTCAGACGTTATTTCAGTTCAACTGGCTACTGGCTCTTTCCGTTTCAATTGATTACTAAAACCTAAACCAAAGATGTGCCAAACTGAGTTAATTCTCTTCCCTTTAAATATTCACCCCTTCATGCTGACTTTTTATTTTTTTATTTTTTTGAGACAGAGTCTCGCTTTGTTTCCCAGGCTAGAATGAGTGCCATGGAGTCAGCCTAGCTCACAGCAACCTCAAACTCCTGGGCTCAAGCGATCCTCCTGCCTCAGCCTCCGGAGTAGCTGGGACTACAGGCATGCGCCACCACACCCGGCTCATTTTTTCTATATATATTAGTTGGCCAATTAGTTTCTATTTGTAGTAGAGACGGGGTCTCGCTCTTGCTGAGGCTGGTTTCGAACTCCGGACCTGGAGCAATCCGCCCTCCTCGGCCTCCCAGAGTACTAGGATTATAGGCATGAGCCACCGCCCCGGCCATAAAAGGCTTATTCTGAGAGAGAGAGAGAGAGAGAGAGAGAGAGAGAGAGAGAGAGAGAGAGAATGAACTTGAGAGAAAGAGACTTTTCATATTTGTTTTAAATCTGTTTTTCCTGAAAATAAACATCGCAACTAATGTTGAGTCCCCTATTCCATTCTCCTCTTCCCCAGAGGAAACTTCTACAATGAATTTGGTGTATATTCATACCATATTTTTATACAATTCCTCATAGCTGAGTATGCAAAATAACATAAGTTTCCTATTCTTTTTACTTAGATATTAAAATGTACATAATATTCTGTATTTATGTTTTTATTCAACATTGTTTTCCAGATTTATCAAAGTCCATATATACAATCCAGTTCATTCATGTTGGCTGTTTTAATGTATTCATTGCATGAACAATCAGAACTGATTGTTACATTCCCCTGCCAACAGACATGTGGGTTGCTGAAACACATACAATTCAATGAGCATACATGTGTCATGCTTTCCTTGTGCACATGGATACAATCAGGGAATACACTCAAAACAAGAATTGCTAAGTGGCAGAGTACTTTCATCTTCAAACTTATTAGATATTGGACAATGATTCTTGAAAGTAATTTTAGCAATTTACACTCAATCAAAAGCGTGTTTCCATTTCTCTACCTTTAAATCAAGAGTATTGTCAAACTTTTTTCTCTACCTTTAAATCAAGAGTGTTGTCAAACTTTTTCAGAGTTTACTTTTATATTTGTCGTAATAAAAAGATACATGGTTGGGCGTGGTGGCTCAGGCCTGTAATCCTAGCACTCTGGGAGGCCGAAGCGGGCGGATTGCTCAAGGTCAGGAGTTCAAAACCAGCCTGAGCAAGAGCGAGACCCCGTCTCTACTATAAATATAAAGAAATTTAATTGGCCAACTAATATATATAGAGAAAAAATTAGCCGGGCATGGTGGCGCATGCCTATAGTCCCAGCTACTCGGGAGGCCGAGGCAGCAGGATTGCTTGAGCCCAGGAGTTTGAGGTTGCAGTGAGCTAGGCTGACGCCACGGCACTCACTCTACCCTGGGCAACAAAGCGAGACTCTGTCTCAACAAAAAAAGAAAAAAAAATGAAAGTATAGGTCAAAACACTCAGCACATTCTATGGACTCAATAATGTATCTTGAATGAATTAATAAAATGAGAACCAATGTTGTGTTTGCCTCCCATTTTTCCCTATATCTACACTTTTTAAATATTTGTGCTTATAATACACACCAACAATTTTTAAACTTTTTATTCTCAGGACCTCTTTAACTCTTAAAAGTTATTGAAGATTTTAATAAGCTTTGGTTCTATGGCTTGTATTAAAATGAAAGTTGATAAATGTTTCGAATGCACACATTGCTAGCTCTAAATGGTATAGCATTACAGCATGTCACTAATCTCTAGATAACTACACTATACACTCATAAGATATGGAGAAAGCAAAGGCAGATCTTAGTGTTATTATGAAAATAATTCTGACCTCGCAGACCTTCCAAAAACATCTCAGGACCCACACATTCCCTGGACCATATGCTGAGGACTGCTACTATAGCTGTGCTACTTTACGATCTCACACACATTGTGATAATGTCCCACTCTGTACAATATTCTTGGAAGCCTGACTGTAAATGGTGGCATAATTCTCCATCCTGAGGGTAGCTTGTACATTATCCAGCCTTCTTCCCATTGGTGCGTGTAGGTTGACCTCAACCATCTGTCTGCAATGAATACCTTCGTGCTGTGTACACGTCTCTTCTTTGTTCCTTAGGATAAATTTCTGGCAGTAGAGTTACTGGATCATTGAATTTTTAAGCATGTTTTCCTGGTCAGACCAAGACTTTTAAGCCAATGCCAGAAAAGAAATAGCCTCAAAGATACACTACCAGTTGAGAAACAAGAACACTTCATTGAGACAATGCTCTTTTCAGTATTTTACTACACTAGCTCCATTTTCCCAGTAAATTATCTGCCTGAAATAGATGGAAAATTACAAATATACCTGTAATTAGTTTTGTCTAATGTGAGTTGACTTTCGTTGCAAATTCACTTATCATGTTCAAAATGTAACAACTCACACTCATCAAAACAATAAAAATGAACATTTATTGAACATTTGCTCTGTAGCAGATTCAAGGCTAAGCCGTTTGTAAGCAAGCTCAGCAGCCTTAGCAAGAACTCTACAGGCGGATATGATGAGCTCTAAATGCAGATGAGCAACGGAAGGCTTTGGGAGGTCCACTGTCACAGCCTCTCGAGAAGGCGGAGCTGAGGCCAGACCCAAGCCCGGGCCCTTCGGGCTGACATTTCCTCAGTGCTCCGCGCGAGCAGTGAGTGTTCTAAGCCACAAAACAGTGACAAAACAAAGGCCCTGAGAAGCTGGTTACCTGTGCAAAGGAACATAGCTAAATGGTGCATGCGGGCTCAAACTCCAAAGGGCCTGCACTCAGGGGCGCTCTCTCCCCTCCCCTCCTCCCCTCCCTCCTCCCTCCCCTCCCTCCCTCCCCTCCTCTTCCCTCTCTCAACTGCTGCTGTTGCACATGAAGTGGTGCAGATTAGGAAAAGATGCCAACTCGGACTAAGCAATGAAAAAGGGTTTGTTTGTTTTTTTCCCTCTGACTTAGAGATCAGGTTTGGTGAGCAGGCCGGACTTTGGGCCCCCCCAGACCCCACCCCCAGCGCCCTGCTACAGAGCCGGTTTTTCTGTCTCCGTCAAAGTCTCTCTCGTTCTCTCCCCTGCTGCTCTCCTCCCTCCCCCCGCTCTCTCCGCCATCCCCTCTCCCTATCTCTCCTTCACCCCTTGGAATCTCCAGCCAGGCTATCAGGCTGGGCCGGTTCCCGAAGACTTTCCTGTGCTTCTGTTCCGGCACATTAGCCTCGCGGGGGCCCAGAGGAGCCACAGACCCCAAGGCCACTCGGCGCGCGGCCGCTGCGATCCCCGCCCCCTCCGCCCCTGGCAAGCGAGACGCGTTTCTGGAAAGGAATCAGACCCACCTGCCGCACCTGCCCGCCCACGGACCGCGACTTCTCGAGGGCAGCACGTTCTCGAGTTGGCCTTCACGGAAGAGATAACGTGAACGTTCCACTTGCCTGGCAGATATTTTTAGTCTTTTGTCCAGATTTTGGAAAGAATGGAATTTTGGAAATGTTTTCTCTTACACTTTCAGCATTCCTGAGCTGACTCACCGCCTGGGAAACCGCGGTTCCCGTTGCTTCGGTTATAGTAAACGTTAACGATTCTGGCGCTTGGTCGGGCCTGTTCCAGGCGCGCCGGGCTGCGCCCGCGGCACCGGCCTGCTCCCCCGCGGGCCCGGCGCGTCCTCCGGCCTGGCCACGCGCGCGGCCCGCGGTGCGGAGGACGGGCCGCGTCCAGGCCCGCCGGCTCCACACACAGACTCGTGCGCTGCGCTTTCTGTCCCTGCGTACCCGACTCCTCTCTGACAGTGAGAACGCGACCCCAGGTAGAGACAGGCACTTGAGTTTCCAAGCACGCTGAGGTCACTTTAAGAATTCAAAGGACGCGAGACACCTGCCTGGGAGGAGCCCATCCCCTCGGCCCCCTGTCCCCTCCGAAAGTACCAGTGTCCCGCGGTGACCGCAGGGGCTCCCGAGCCAGGGAGGAGGCGGCCGCGACCCGGCCCCCGCGAGCGCCGTCTCCCCCACTGCCCCGCCGGGCGGAGGCTCCTGGCGCCGAGAGCCAGCCTGGGCGCGCTGCCCTCTCGGCACCGGTTTGCCCCAGCGCCCGCCAGGAGGTGAGGGAAGGCGGAAGCCCTGGGCGGGAGGTGAGGGGCGGGAGGTGTGGAGGTGCCGGGTGCAGGGGCGTGGACACCCGATCTGAGGCGAGGACTGGCGGTGGGCGGAAACGCCAGGCAGAAGGTGAGGGCCCTAGGGCCAGAGGTGAGAGGGTGCCAGACGGGCGGGGGACCGAGACGCCGAGCGGGAGGTGAGGGGCGGGACTGGGTGCCTTGCGCAAGGTGAGGGCGGGCCGCGGCAGTGGGCGGGGAGGAGCCAGCCTTAGGTAGGGTGGAGGCAGGCGGAGAGGAGCCGGCGGGGCGGGCGCGAGGGCGATTCGCCAATCGGTGGGGACTCAGGTTTGCCCCCACTCCCGACCGGGCCGCAGGGCAATTGGGCGCTGTTCCCGACCCCGCGCGGTCGTCGGAACTGGCACCCGGACGGACCCGCGCCGAAACGCCGGAGGGTGTCCGCCGGACCGGAGCCTGTCCCCCGAGAATGCGCGCCCAGGCGGCCCTGGACGCGCCCCCGCGCGAGCGGTTCCTTCCCCAGGACCTCGCGGCTCCCCGGGACGCGGACGCGGCGCGGCCGGCGCGCAGGAGCGCGGTGGAGAGGCTGGCGGCAGACCGCGCCAAGTACTTGCGGGGCCGGCCGGGGGCTGGCCGGGGCTCTGCTTCCGAGGACAGCGGCCCCGGGGCGGTCAAGGAGCAGGGCCACAACCCCGGGCCCCCGGCCCGCGCCCCGGGTCCGGTGGCGCGCAGGGCCATTGCGCGGAAGCCGCTGAGGCCGGACTCGCTGGTCATCTACCGGCAGAAATGCGAGTTCGTGCGAGGACCCGGCGCTGACGGCTCCAGGGCGAGCCTGGTGAAGAAGCTTTTCCAGGGGCCGGGCAAGGACAAGGTGCCGCCTGAGACGCCCCGGCTGGGAGAGGAGGGCAAGGCCGGGGGCGGGGAGGCCGCCACGAGCAAGCCCGGCCCCGCAGCGGCCCCCGAAGCTGCAGCGGCCCCCGCGCCTCGAGAGACCCCGGCCCCCGCAGCGCCAGCGGCCCCCGCGCCTCGCGAGACCCCGGCCCCCGCCCCGCCGGCCGCAGCGCCCTCCGGGGTCCCGGTTGCGCGCCCGTGCCCCGAGCTGCGGGCGGCGAGGCGCGGGGGGCTGCGGCGCTCGCAGTCGGACCTCAGCTCCCGCTACTCCGCGGCCATGGCCGAGTTCGACAGCTTCTTCCAGTACTGCGGTCTGGACCCCGAGGTGGTGGAGGCCCTTGGCAGGGAGAACTTCTCCGTGGGGTCGGACCGTGCGGGCCTCAAGGTGCGCAGCGTGAGCGTCGCCACCTCCGACAGCGGCTTCTCGCGGCACAGCGGCGGCGGTGCAGACGGGCTGCAGGAAGAGGAGCTGACGGAGCAGGTGCCCAGCACCACCTCGGTCATCGAGAGGAACGCCCGCATCATCAAGTGGCTGTACACCTGCAGGAAGGCCAAGGAGACGCCCAGCCAGGGGCTGCAGGGGCCGGCGTGACGGCCTGCGCTCGCGGACACCGGGACCCGAGGTGCGCGCCCGGAAAGCAGGGTGGGAAGCCGGTCCTGCCGGGGAGGACCCGGTCAGCGTGGCCGGCGGATGCGGCTGGTCCCAGCCGATGCTCTGATTCCAGGACGGACAGTGGAAGGGCCCCAGGAGATGGGGGACGCAGAGGCCCACGAGCGGAGCCACCACAGCTGGGGAGCAGAAGGCACCGACACAGGCACCTGCAGGCCCAGGAGCGCGCCGCCGCCTGAGCGCCTAGAAGGAAGGGCAGTTCTGTGAGTTAACGCGGTGGCAGGCTTGTTACTGTGAAAATAAGAGAAATCAGAATTGTAAATTCCTGTCTGCTGGCAGTTTTACACCCCTGCCGGTGTGATTTCCCGTGTTGGGAATGGCCTGAGAGCCCCAGTCCTGTGAGAAGCCACCTGCTCCACGCGCAGCCCCAGGGTGGCCCTGCTGCGCGCCTGCGCAGAAAGGAAGGCCCTGTACGGTCTCAGGGGCCTTTCCCAAAGTGAGGGTCTCTACAGGGCCTTGTTAGCACTTTGGCATTCGTTTAGCAATAAAAAATTTTTTTATTTAGCTAAATTTTGTTTAAATTGTTTTGAGAGCTTCAGTTTGTTAAACAGGGGAATTGGGTAGATTGTAACTAATGTATCAGAGTTCTAGACTGCTGTGATGCTCAGTTTGTTCGCCTCTGATGACACTACAGGAAGTAGCTTTCTTCCCTTCCAACACCCGAACACCGCTAGCACAGGACGTTCGTCCTCGCTGCACCTGCTCTTCCCCCTGCGCGGGCATTTGGGGAATGGGGAAGAGGAGGTACCTGTACAGGGCCCCCTCTGAGAACCACGAGTTTAAACATTGCAGCACCTTTCTCCTCTTGCCCTTCAATGGCAGCTTGCTAAATTACCAGATGAGATTATTTTGTGTGCCAGCGAGATAAACCACTGAGGCACAGCATGGGCCTGTGGGATTGTGTAGGGCTGCCGCAGGGCGTCTGAGGACGGAGACATCCCCAGTAAACTCCAGCCGCGTCCTTGGTGAAAATCAGCGCGAGGAGGTGAATACTTTGTTTTGCTTCAACTCAGAAGGCTCAGGATTTAAATTCTTCCCTATCATTTATGGAAGATTTGCATTTTCTCTAGCCTAAGTCCCCAAAGAATGTATATAGGCAGTCAATTTAAAAAAAAAAAAACACAAACATTAATTTGTATTTTTCACAGGGCGGATCTGAGAGGGGCAAATGCTGGGAAGGGCGTCCTCATGCTGGGGCTGGGAACAGGGAGGTGGGGAGGAGGCTGGGTGGGCGTGGACCGTGGGGGGGACACCTTCTGGCCCGTGGAGCCCCAAACCAGGCTGGGGGCCTGTCTTCTGTTAGCAAGTGACTGTACACCAGCCTTCTTTGTCCACAAAACAAAGGGAGGCAGAGATGATTCCCTACCTCTACGTTTATATTCTGTGCAATTCCATGATTGGAACTGGAAAAAGGAAAACAAAAAAAAGCACTATCTATTGAATCCCGTAAAAGGTAAATTTGTGAATAAGTTCCCTCCAGGTAGCCGGAACCTGTGCAGCCAGTAGGTACAAATAAATAGTGGTGAGATAACAAGGTGACAGACACACCAAATGAAACCTGACAGCATAAATAATGAAAGAAGCCCCTCTGGCCCCTGCAGACCCAGGGCCACCCCGTTCTCTCGCACTCCAGTGTCAAAACAGTGACCTGAAAGAGAATTTAGGATTTAGTCTTTTAAGTAACCTTTCCGAAGCCCTTTTAGGTTTGAACCTATGAAAAATATAGGAAGTTTGGTTAGCCTGTGAAAGCTTTCACTTTTATGACAGAGAAAAGGAGTTGAAGCAAGAGGGAGGGGGAGGGCAGGTTCCAAGGGCAAATTGACAGAAGAGCAGAGCTGTCTGTGTCTGTTTGCCACCCCGTCTCTCCCTCCACCTTAATCCCGTGTGTTCCAAGCAGAGACAGTGTCCCTGCCTTGCGAGGAGGAGTTTCACGGTGGTGCCCACAGCAGGGGACAGTCACACAGAGCCTGCTGTGGGTTTGTGTGGAACTGGCAGCCCCAGCGCTGTGAAGACTCCACACTTGTGCCCCCACAGGCCCCAGCTTGGCGTGCGATGACTTAACGCGTGGGGGTGGGGGACTGTGAGAAGGAAGTGCGGTCCCTGGGCTGTCTGCAGCCCACTGGGCTGGTGTCTGCTCCTGACCTCAGTCCTCTCCCGGTCATGGAGAGGTGCCAGCCCAGACAGCCCAGACAGCCGGTCCCACGGCGTGCTCACAGGTGGTCAGTGGGTGATCCTCTGGCGTTCTGCACAGGAATCACTTGTTCCAAGGCCAGTTCCATAACTTTGGGAAGATGTGGAAGCAAGAATCCAAGCTGTGCTTTCTCTGTTGAAATCTGTAAGGATTCGGTTTAGGATTTCATGAAAAATTCAGAAAATTTGAGATGAACAAAGGTAAACCTTCCAAGTGAAAGAGAAAATAAATACATTTTAGGCGGGGCGCGGTGGCTCACGCCTGTAATTCTAACACCCTGGGAGGCCGAGGCGGGCAGATTGCTTGAGGTCAGGAGTCCGAAACCAGCCTGAGCAACAGCGAGACCCTGTCTCTACTAAAAATAGACAGAAATTAATCGACCAACTAAAAATATATATACAAAAAATTAGCTGGGCATGGTGGCACATGCCTGTAGTCCCAGCTACATGGGAGGCTGAGGCAGGAGGATCGCTTGAGCCCAGGAGATTGAGGTTGCTGTGAGCTAGGCTGACGCCACGGCACTCACTCTAGCCTGGGCAACAAAGTGAGCCTCAGTCTCAAACAAAAAAAAAAGAAAAGAAAAGAAATACATTTTATGGAGGTGTTTGTCTCCTTGGTAGTAGGGATTTATAAATTATAATAAAGATATCTCATCCAGAACAAAATAATCAGTTCATAAGTTTCTGACCCATGGGGTAAAAATGTTTGCTTTTCAAAACTGAGAAAATCGGAACTGGAGACTGACTCACAGAACAGCATGCAAGGCCACCGGAGATCTGTGAGTAACAGTTACACATGGGCAATTTTCGTGTTCTGCTTCCCAGAGTATAATTCAGGAAGATTGCTCTTCTGTCTGCTGGGACTTAGTCATCTTCCTGTCCTTCACTTCATCAAACTGGGGACTTGCCAAGATGGATATCTTTCTGTTTTGCATAGAGTATATAAGTTGCTGCTTTTAATATTGGCATAAAAGAATGGTGACTTGTCTTTTGGGATAATTAGGGATAAACATTGTTTAATTTCAAGGCAAAAATACTCAGATATCCCACAGCTATCTTTTAACATTTATCCTTGACAAAAGAAAGAAAGAAGTACCTGTAGAAGCCCAGGGAAAGTTCCTGGAACAGAACTGGGTCTCACGTTTACAAAGGTGCTAAGGGCACGCAGAACAAGTAGACAGGGGACACCCTGGGCTTTCTGCTCCTTTCCTCTTTGGTGACTCTGGAAAGCTCGGCAGTGACCAGCCAGGAGCACATTGTAGGCAAACACACGCTTGAGGAGCCGCCTTCCCCTGCCTTCTGCACCTTCAGCACCTGGGCCTTCAAGAGACACTGGTGTTTGAAAAGGGAGGAATCTGTTTGCCTTCAAATATTTAGTGGGGCTGCCTGCCTGTTTCCTATTTTGTTGTCCATCTCTGGGAGTTAGCACTGGGCTTACCAATATTCAAAGTTTTCCCCGTGAGTAGTTGGAGGCAAAGAGAAATTTCAAAAGCCCAGAAAAAGGCCTGCAGGGAGGCAGAGATTTGCTCTCACAGAGAAACCAGACGATAGCTGCATTTAATAAAGCGACTGACTTCTTTTTAAAATTCAAAACTCAAAAAGAAGATACTTTTAAATGCAGAGAATGTCACAAAACCGAAAACCACAGGGTCCAGACCTTGTAGTATAACGTCTCGTATTCCAACTCTTGCCTGAACTGAGGTTGACTCTGTTTTCTTTGACTCCTCAGGAAGCCAGCCTTCCCGACTCTGTGGGCTTCTTCTAAAGTGGGTCGGGTGACGTGGGACCCCAGGGCCACTTGTCCAGTGCGCCTAGGCGACGACGTGACTGCTATTCCCGGGAATAAAGCACCCCATCGACAAAGCTTGAGTGATTGCAGGAGGTTTGAAATGCTGTAGAGAACACGGGGAACACAGACGCTGAAAGTCTGCTGACTGTAATAGCTGAAGCACCCAGAGACATTTTCCCTGTTTGAAGTAGACCTATCCTTGCTTTTGGTGGGAAGCTAGAAAACCGTTTGGAAATATTTTTAAGGTCATCTTTTTGACCCTACAATTTGATTTTTTTTTAAATGCAAAGAGCACGAAAACCAAGCATGAATGCTTGGCGTGTGCTTCTTGTGACCACCCCAGGCTGACTGGCACCATTCACATCAAAGTGATCGTGAGAAGGTGTGTTCTGCTTCGATGCTACGGCGGACAGAGAGCGAACTCACAACCCACACACACCATGCACACAGCTCGGCTTCCAAAGCATCGCTACTCTGTAAACTGCCACATTACTAAACTCCTAAACTGTGCAACTGATGATCTTATTTAATCAGTCAGAACACACTTTTTTTTTTTTTTTTTTTGAGACAGAGTCTAGCTTTGTTGCCCAGGCTAGAGTGAGTGCCGTGCGTCAGCCTAGCTCACAGCAACCTCAAACTCCTGGGTCAAGCAATCCTCCTGCCTCAGCCTCCCCAGTAGCTGGGACTACAGGCATGTGCCACCATGCCCGGCTAATTTTTTGTATATATATTTTTAGTTGGTCAATTAATTAGTTTCTATTTTTAGTAGAGACGGGGTCTCACTCAGGCTGGTTTCGAACTCCAGACCTGGAGCAATCCGACCACCTCAGCCTCCCAGAGTGCTGGGATTACAGGCGTGAGCCACCACGCCCAACCCAGAATGCACTTTTAAAATCACTTGAGGGTAGAAGGTTGTTCTATTAATGCCACTCTCCATTTGGGTTGTAGGAGTGTGGAAGTACCCGCTAAAAGACAAGTTAGAGTTGAGTACTTACTGCTAAAGGAAACCTTTGCTTGTGCTGGACAGTTTCCGGAGAGTTGGCTGGAGAATCTTGGAGTTTCCACCGCACGTTTGCTGCCCCACATTTAGAATGTGCTCCGTGTCCTCTTGTTCCAACCTCCAGAAAGGGCACCAGCCCTGAACTTGGCACCGGTTCTCTCCTTCCTTCAAAGAGTGTATTTGGAAGCGGGGAGCAGCCTCCAGGGGTCTGGGGAAGTAGGGTCCAAACGCGGGCAGGGGTTGACAGGTACCTTCATTCTGAAATTGCTACAACACCAGGATAAATAGATTCAGATTCCGAACCTTCTGAGAGAAACTTTGTATCCATGACAACTCAAAGAAAATGTGTTACCCAGTCAACTCTTTTCAAAGCTCACTATGTTTTACCAAAATACGTCTCTTCAAGAACAAAATCACTAGAGAGAAGAATATGGAGGGGAGAGAAACGAGTTTCTCAATGGTACTGTAGTTTACGAACCATTCCATTTTGATACGTTCGTGTATTTGTTTAATAGGTTTATTTTTTTATAACTGTTTTACTGTGAGAGTAGGTCTTTGAGTTACTTAAATATCTATTTTTATACAGTTATTAGTCTTCAGATAGTTTTATTTTACTTCATGTGGTTTTAGTTCTTGTCAGTATAGTTTTAAATCTCTTTGGTCTTTTTATATTCATTGTTTAGTTTTGACTGTGAGTGGTGTGTTGGGCACTGAGTAAAGTGTTCCGTGCTGTAGTGGTTTGTTTTCAGGTGAGTCCCAGGTACACACTGAGGGGGCTTTGCTGGCCAACAGATGTACCTTCCTCAGTGTAGACCCCGCGTCAAGAAGGCAGGTCCCCTGATCTGAGATTTTTTCCCCAGTTGTTGCTCCAAAATGCTATTTTGCTGTTCGCTGTATTTCATTTAGTTTAAAATGATAATGTCAAAGATGAGAGAGGTTTTTAAATGGTCTTTTTATGGCCCGGCGCGGTGGCTCACGCCTGTAATCCTAGCACTCTGGGAGGCCAAGGCAGGCTGATCGCTCAAGGTCGGGAGTTCGAAACTAGCCTGAGCAAGAGTGAGACCCCATCTCTACTATAAATAGAAAGACATAAATAGGCCAACTGAAAATATATATAGAAAAAAAAATTAGCCAGGCATGGTGGCACATGCCTGTCGTCCCAGCTACTTGGGAAGCTGAGGCAGGAGGATCGCTTAAACCCAGAGTTGAGGTTGGCTGGTATAGGCTGACGCCAACAGCACTCTAGCCCAGGCAACACAGTGAGACTCTGTCTCAAATAAATAAATAAATAAATAATCTTTTTATATACTCAATTTCCTTATTGTCAGGTATATCATTAACTTTCTATGTGAAAGCTGTAAGTAAAAGTTTTGTGCCTCTCCAAACTGCAGCCTGGGTCAGACTGACCTAAGATCAAGATGGTGCACACTCATCATTCATATAATAGGTGAAAATACAAAAACAGATTCATTTTCACTTAAAACCACCGAGATCTTCTAGAAGCATCTGCACCTTCAGTGGTGGGAAGAGAAGAATGCAGGTGGGGTGAGCTTTGGAAGCAGGTATCAGAGATGGAGTGTGAAGAATAGGGGAATAGGGCAGCCCCAAACTCCCAGAGAAGTGAGTTAATTCTCCTTCCCTTCTACCCCTACCCCTGGCCCGGCCTCGTGTCTTGTGTACGTGGTTAGAGGTGAGTTCTTGTCTCAACCTGAGTGTCCTCAATTTGCTGAGTGACTCTGAGAAAAATCCAACTCTGCAGCTCCTCTGTAGCTGCTTTGCACACAAGGATGAGCAGTAGTTACTGCTGCAAGATACCTGCGTTTGTTCCTGAAGGAATAGCAGTAAAATAAGGTGATAAACATAACGGAAAGAAAACAATGTGAGTAAAGGGGAGAAATAACTTGGCAGCAGCCTTCCCCAAGGGTATGGACAGGTCAGCAGTCCCTCAGCCGTGTTGCGTGGATGTATGTATACACACGTGTGGTTGTTGAACTGCTGGCCTTTGACACTGGAATAAAAAGGAAGCTTTACTGAACGTTGCATTTTTTCAGTAGGATCAAAGGTCAGTGCTTTGGTTAGGGTTGGTGATACCAGAAAACATCAGGCCCAGACAACAGTGATGGCAGTTTCTAAATGGAGTTTTTTCTACACACTACTTGCAACTGGAGTGCAATATGATATATTCTGTATTAAAGAAATAAAGCATTTCTGTCATTTATTAAATTGATTTATGAATTTTAACAATGCAAAAAAATTTAAAGTGAGAATGTGCTTAATAGTATTCATATCTTTTTGTTTTCTCCCTCCTGACTGTTTCATCAGATTATCAGTAGAAGTGCGCAAAGCCTTCTGAGACTAGCCCAAGGCAAGTTGCATGACACCTGAAGTCTCCAACTGCCCTCAAGAGGAAACGCAGCAAAAACAGTTTTGGACATTCAGCACTTTGCTTTTCTCTAATTGCTTCATCAGTCTTTTGCTTAAAAAGATTTTCTTCATGTTTGTTGATATTACCGTTGGGAAATGAGCACAAAGACAAAAATGAAAGCACCGTTTGTAACCTTTCTCATTAGCTCATGAAGTGAGGCAGACTCTGCTCCCATCGGATTTGTTTTCCCCCCCAGGTGTGCCCCCACTCCCGGAAAGGGGGCCCCCCAAATGGGCCTTTGGGGGGGGGGTTTGGAGGGGGGTCCCCCCCCCCCCCCCGGCGGTTTTTGGGGGGGAAAAAAAGGGCCCGAAGGGGTGGGGGCCCCCCCACTAGGGGGGGTTTGGGGGGGGTTGAAAAAGGTTATATACACCCCCAGGGGGTGGGGGGGGGCCCGAGGGTTTGGGGCCCGGGGGGGGGGGGGGGGCCCGGGAAGGGTTTGGGCCCCCCCGGGGGTTTGGGGGGGGGCCCCCCCCCCCTGAGGGTGGGGGGGCCCCCCGGGGTGGGGGGGGGGGGGGCGGGGAGGGTTGCCCCCCCCCCCCCCCCCCCGGGGAGTTTTGGGGGGGCCCCCGGGAGGGTGCCCCCGGGTGGGGGGGGGGGGGGCGGTTTGGGAGGGTAAAACCCCCGGGGGTGGGGGGGGCCCCACCCCCCGGGGGGAAAGGTTTTGGCCCCCCCGGGGGGGTTTTATTGGGGGGGGGGCGGAGGTTAAAAACCCCCGGGGGGGTTTGGGGGGGCGCCCGGGAGGGTTTTTGGCCCCCCCCCCGGGCTTGGGGGGCGGGGGCCCCCGGGGGGGGGGAGGTAGCCCCCCGGGGTTTTTTGGGGGGCCCGGAGGGTGCCCCCCGCCCGGGTGGGGGGCCCGACAGGTTTACCCCCCGGGGGGGTTTTTGGGGGGGGGCGCCCCCCCGAAAAGGTTGGGGCCCCCCCGGGGGTTTGGGGGGGGGGCCCCGGAAGGGGTTTAACCCCCGGGGGTGGGGGGGCCCCCGGAAGGGGGGGTTTCGCCCCCCCCGGGGGGTTGGGGGGGCGGGGAAGGGTTGGGGCCCCCCCCCCCCCCCCCCGCCCCCGGGGGGTTTTTGGGGGGGGGGGGTGGAAGGGGGGTTTGGCCCCCCCCCAAGGTTGGGGGGGGGGGTTGGGAAAAACAGGGCCCCCCCCAAAAAAAGGAAAGGGCCCCCCGGCCCCGTTGTTTTTTTTTTTTTCCCTTTTTCCCCTTCTTTTCCTCCCCCCCCGGCCCCCTGGGCCAAAACTGGGGGGAACCCGAGCCCCCCCCCCCCCCCCGGGGCCCGGGGCCTTTTTTTTGAGCAACTTTGTTCCAGGCCCCCTCCCCCCCCCCCCCGCGGCCGGGTTGGGGGCCCCTTCCCAAAAAAAAAATGCCCCCCCCAAACCCCCTAAAATGCCCCCAAAAAAGCCCACAAAGGGGGAACCAAGGATTTCCCCCCACCCAGCCAAAAACCGAAAGGGTTGGTGGGGGAAAAAAGCCCCCACTTTGGGAAACCCAAACACCACCCCGCCCCCGCCCCCTGCCTTGGCCAACGAAAAAAACCCTGTTTTTGGAAGGGAAAAACCCCCAGAGCCCCCAAAGTTGGCCCCCCCCCCTTTGTTTTTTTTGCTGTGGGCCTTTTTATCCCCTCCCCCTTTTGGGGTTCCACGGTCCCACAGCCCCCTTATCCGTGGGGGGCCCCCTTTTTGGACCCCCCCGGGGTTGGGCTGGTTGGTTGGGGGGGCCTTCTGGTGGTGGGGCCTTGTTTTGGGTTGGCTTTTTTTTTCCCCTTGGGTCCTCAACAACCGGTCCCAGCCCAAAAAAAGCCAAAGTTTTGGGCCCCCCGTTTTTTTTTTTTTTTTTTTTTTTTTTTTCCCTTTCCCCTCCTCCCCCCCCCCCCAAGGTTTAAAAGTTTTTTTGAGGGCCCCCCTTTTACCCAAACAATGGGGCCCCCCCCCCAAAAGCGTTTTTTTTTTTTAGCCCCCTTTTTTTTTTGGTGTTTTTTTGCCATGTTTTTCATTTGGGAATGTGTTTTTTAAGTAAGAATTTTTTTATACAATTAACTTTTTAAATGTTCTTGAAAAAAGTTTGAAAAAAAATTTAACTAAACAAAAAAAGGAAAAATGAAAGCCAAAATCTTTTTTTCCAAAGCCCCCAGGGAAAGCCTTTTAAAAGGAAAACGTCCGGGTCCCTTTTTGGAAAGTTTTTTTTTTGTTTTTTTTTTTTTGGCCCCCAGCAGAAAAGCTGAAAAAAATTGGGGGGAAAAAACACAACGAAAGCCCCCCAGAAACGGGCGATCCTTGCCCCCCAGTGGGGAACTTTTTCCCGTTTGTCGCCCTTTTTGCTACACATTTCCTTTCCAAAAAATCTTGCGCCCCCAAACCC